TTTTTTTAATCCTCACCTGAGGGTATGCTTACTGATTTTAGAGAGAGGAAGAAAGAAAGAGAGAAACATCAATATGAGAGAGAAACATTGATCAGTTTGCCTCCCATACTTACCTTCACTGGGGCTCAAACCTGTAACCTAAGTCTGTACCCTCACAGGAATCGCACCCACAAGATTTTTGGTGTGTGGGGGAAACACTCCAACCACTGGACCACCCAGTCAGGGTCTTCCCTCCCTTCGTAACTGCCCCTCCAAGTAGTGCAGAGTCTGGCTCACAGGAGGCGGTCATCTTACGATGAAGAAATGCAGGCGAGACTGAGTGAGTGGACGGATTAGAACGCTTCCCAGAGGAGGCCGTGTTTGACAGGAGCTTTAGAGTGAGGCTGGGCTTCTCAAGTGACAAGTGCCGTGGGTAGGTCCTGGCTGCTCTGGCTCAGTGGACTGAACTGAAAGGTTGCTGGTTCGGTTCCAGATCAGGGCACACGCCTGAGTTTCAGGCCAGGTCCCCAGTTGGGGGTGTGCAGGAGGCAACCAGTCGATGTTTCTCTCTCACATCCATGTTTCTCTTCCTCTCTCCCTCCCCTCTCTCTCTCTAAAAAAAAAAAAAAAATGGTGTGAGATGGTAAAACCAGGTGTTCTAGATACAGGCAATGACACAGAGGAGGACATGGAGGACTTCCAGGAGCAGCCTGAGAGACGACGTGAACAGGACTAGAGGCAGGTCCAGGCAAAGCAGGGGTAATCCAAGTCCAAGGGGCCTGGTAATCCTCTGGAAATCTTGTTAAAACACGGATTGCTGGGCCCCACTTCCAGAGGTTCCACCTCCCACATCTGAGTTAGCCTCTGAGAATTTGCATTTCGGATAAGTTTTGAGGAGGTGCAGATACTGCTGGCCCAGGTGTTGAGCAAGACAGATAGTAAACCAAGGCCGGGAGGGCAGGGAGACAGGTCTCACCGGCTGATTCAGCATCCCGAGCCCGGTCTGATAAGACTGCCAGGTGTTCTGAACATCAAAAGCAAAAACTACGATAGATCAGGAGGAGGGGAGTCCTTGAAGTTTCACATGCTGGGAAAGAAAGCCTCTGTGGCAATTTCATTAGCGGAGAAAGAACGCCTTTGTAGTTGTATGTTGATCCCAAGGCCTGGAAGGGGAAGAAGGAGGGGTACCTAGAAGCTGCCTAAAATATGGAGCTCCTGGAGTCCCGATAGTTGGGGCACTCAGATCAGCTGGGTGCCCGCTTGTAACCTTTTGCTCAAGTGTACTTCATAAACAAACTTGCTATCTCATTTCCTCCCTGAGTGTTGTCTGTTGACTGAATTCTTCTCTTGCAAGCAAGACAAGAACTGAGGAGGGGAGCCCCTGACTCGGGTGTCCCCAATAACACAGGGACCGCATTTTGAGAGACGCTGGTACAGGGCATGCTAAGGAAGCCTCATCACGGAGGATCAGGGGAGGACCCTGGAGGGACATGGATGGGAGGGAGCTGCGTGCCACACCGAGCGCAGTCTGAGCTGGCAAGGCCAGTGCTCAGCCCCACCCTTTCCCCAAACCCGAGCCTACCGTGACCGCCTCCGACCGCCTAGTCTCCTGGTACTCAGCCTTGCCCATCTCCTCAGCTGCATTTATGCTTTGAAGGAGTGTCCTGTTCCTCACTCCAGTGAGAATTTGATGACCCCTTTAAAATGCTGCTGAGGGGGTAGGCTAAGACCACCTCACCTCACATGGTAATTCACACTAATGCCTCTGTGACTGTGTTTAGCAGGAAACCTGGCATTAAGTCATGTCTCCTTGAAGGTAGTTCTCACTTTGTTTGGGCAGGAGGGGGAGGAGGAGGAGGAAAGGCCGTGCCCTGCTAGCCTTCCCAGGACAAATCATGTGCAAACTGCAGCCTGTCCACCGTGGTTTGGTTTGGTTTGGTTTGGTTTGGTTTGGTTTGGTTTGGTCAGCATCCTCATATCCAATAGGGCAAACATCTCTTTCTCTTCATCATGAACCCCAGATAAGCAGCCTGGGGTCCTGGCTGCTCTATGTCACAGGAAAAAGACAGACACCAATCTTCCACAACAGCCTCTCTTGATTCTGCTGTACCTTTTAGTTTCCAAAACTGATACAAAAACATGCACAGATCAATTCACACTGAGCTGGCTTGGCATTCTGGCTCTGCCGATTTTCCAGCCTTTGATTTGGGGCAACTTACTTTAGCTCTCTGAGCCTCAGCATCCTCATCTGTAAAATGGGTGTGTTGCTAATCCATGTCATATGGCTGCTGGGGGCATTTAGCGAAGTTGTGAATGTTAAGTATTTAATAGTGTGGGGCTCAGTCAGTGTTTGCCAATTGCCCCAGTGTAAATACTCCCACCATAGCTGATGTCAAGCTAACAACATGCTGTCTCTGAAAGGGGATGGGCACACCATTACTTAGTGTCTCCACCATACAGACACAGTGGAAACAAACGAGCTCAAGAGCAGAGAGCACAGTCACACACAGTAAAACAATTAGGAAATGATGAGCTTTTATGACCTTTGCATTTTGAGTACTTATCACCTGTGTTTTTAATATGTATTAATATATAGTAATAGGTGTTTACATACATATTTAATGTGTATTTAATGTATTTCACTGTAAGTTCATATAATTAAAATTTTCACGATGGCCGTGTTTAACAACCGGTTCACAAAACCCCTGGAATACTCCTGTCCTAAGCCAGTACCAGCCAGTTCCAGGACATGGGCGGGGCCCGCCTGGAGGTGGTTGATCCCTGCAACGTCCTTTCCCTCTTTCTTTCCTATCCTCAACGCACGGGAGATTTCAGGGAACTTTCCCAGGTAGAAATAGAGATGTTTTCTGTTGCACTGCGGGCTCCAACTTTTGCTTTAGATCTTGGCCCCCATCCCAGCCCTCAGACTATACTACACCCCAGCCAAGGTCCAGCCCTCGTCATGCTGCCCGACTGGCCCTTCCCACGGCTGGGTGGCCGAGCCACCGCTGACACCAGAGAGGACGCTGTCTCTGCCGGGCTGGGCACCAGCAGGAGAACCGTGAGGGGCTCTCTGTGGCTGCAGGGTGGACCGGCAGGTTATTTCAGGATCCCATCAGTGAAGGGGATGGGGAAGCCCAGCCGCCAAGTGCACTTTGGCAAGTCAGGGCCCATGATTAGGCTCCACTTGAGGCTTGAATAAAACCCTGGTTGTTACTAAACGACAGTAAAGCAGGAAGGCCTCCAGCTTCCCCAAGCCTCGTGCTGTACGAGCCGCCCAGGACAGACATTTGGACAGAAGTGCCCTGTCTGCTGAGCAGCGTCCAAATTATCTGCGAAACCTCCCCTGTCCTCAGCTGCAAGGGAGCACAGAGGAGCAAAGGGTGCCAGCAGCCGGCTCCTCACCTCACCTCACCTTCAGCATCTGCCTGTCCTGCCTGACTCCATGATTGCTCTGCAGCCTCCTATTTACAGAGTCTGCAGTCACTGGGGAAACGTTACCCATTCCCACAGTCGGGGCTGTGGGATCCCCACAAAGCAAAAGGAAATGTACCCGAACGCTGACGGTGTTCTCACTGGATGGCAGGGCTTGGAATGACTGCATTGTCAGCCATCTTTGTGCTTTTCCAGAATTGTGTGACTCTAAGCACGATGCACATATTTCCACACACACGTGCCCAGAGTTTCGTCTTATTTTTTACTTTTTCTGCCCACCCCTCTGGATCCCAAGTTTAAAAAGCAGAAACAAGCAAACAGCAAAACCAAAATGTACCAAATGAGGGATTTAAGCTTCAGGGTCCCTTGCTCACCGCAGACACCCCGTTGCATTAGTCGTTTTTCACTGCCTTTGTTAAAGGCAGTCTCCCCAATTCTGTGAGCTGAGGTGCACACCTGCCCGCACCCACCCCTGCACGGCCCCCTCGCCTAGCGCACTGTGAAGCCGTCTTCTCCACTGTGGTTCTTTCTGAGCCTACAGTTTGCTATGACTTGGGGTCCCACACTGTGTGGAATAGTTGTCACAGCATCAGTGTAAGAAACTGAGCAGGGCAATCACCTCAGGCTTCAAACTCGTCATCTGCAAAACGGCAGCACCGAGAGTCCCGGACTAGCGGGTTTTCTGAATGTGAGGCTGCAGCGTGTGAGGGAGGAGGAGGAGGAGGAGGAGCGGGCTCACCCAGGCCGCCCCGCCAGGCCTCGGGGAGGCCTCACACAGCCAGAGCCCTCCCATGAACTGCAGGCAACGACAGTTACTCCGTTGTCTTATTTTCTGTGTTCTTTTTAAAATATGTTTAAGTATTTTCTATTTTTCGATGACGGTTGATATCACTGGTATATTAGTTTCAGGTGTAATGGTGAGACATTCGTATAAGTTACAAAGTCATCGCCCTGCTACGTCTAGTAGGCACCTGACACTGTTTCAACATCCCTGACTGTATGTTCCCTCTGCTGTGCAGTGCACCCCCACGACTGTTCTGTAACCACCAACCTGTACTTCTTAATCCCTCCCCCCTGTTCCACCCATCTCCCCAGTCCTCCTTCCATGTGGCTACCCTTGTGGCCTCGGGGTGTCGAGTAACCACTTGTGGCTGCCACGTTGGCAGCACAGGTAGAGAGCGTCATCACAGCCGACGTCATCACAGAGGCTTCTGTTGGACGGCACTCATCGAGAGACCCATGATTCCACACCTTTTCAAAGGCACCCGTGACCGGAAAACGTTAACAGCCACTATGTCAAGCCAGCGAAACTTCATTGAAGGAGCCAGAAACTGCTCTGGTGGCCAAAGGCTCATCATGGTGACAGAGGCTATGAACAAGTCTGCCTCTGACTGCTCTTTGTGCTCTAAAAACCCAACTCTAAAAACTCAAAACATCCAGACCCTGTGCTTTATTGTTGATCTCCTTCCCCCTTTTCAGAGAAGGACACTTAAAGTTCCCCAGAGCCTCTGGGCCCAGCCCGAGTCCCAGTGGGAAACGGGGACACCCGGTGACCCTGTCCCCTGTGCTGTGTGTGACTGTTGCAGGTTGGCGAGGCGGTCTTGGAAAACGCCCGGCTCATGTTGCAGACAGAGAGTATCCAGGCAGGCGTGGACGACTTTAAAGAAAGGTAATGCTCTTCCGCAGAGGCGACAGTCCCTCCGTACCTCCCACGTGACTCTTGGGTCACTCGGGCCATGCTGTCTGGAGTCTCCCGCATTCCCTGCCAGCCACGTGGAAGGCTGGGGTGGGACAACAGGGTCCCTGGGAGAATCTAGAGCCAAGATGGTCAGACCCAAACCCTCCTTGTAGACACAAACCAAGCCCCAAGGGCTCAGAGATTTTGCCTGGTGTCACTCGGGCTAGAGCAGAGGTTCTCAGAATCTAATGTAGTGCAGAATCCCCTCGGGGGCTTGCAGACAGCACAGTTGCTGCGCCCCACCCTCAGGGGTTTTGATTCAGTGGATCTGGAGAGGGGCCCCAAATTTACATTTCCTGCCGGATCCCAATGATGCTGATCCTGCGGGTCCTGGGACCGCACTCTGAGAACTGCTGGTTTAGAGCAAGGCCTCTCACGGGCAGCTTGGAATCACCTGGGTGCTGGAAATGCCGGTGCACAGCCCCGCAGATGAGCTAAACCAGAGCGTCTGGGGTGGGGCCCTGACCTCCACGTATTTAAAGCTCACCAGCCTTGAGAAGCATCCCTTTGAGGTCTAATACAGTGTTTCCTGAGGTGGGTAAAAGTAGGTTTACGGTTGTTCATATGGAAAATAATACAATAATTAATAAATAATAATACAAGAATAAAGTCAGTATATATATATTGCTGGCGAAGATTATTTTAAGTGGTGTAAGGATACGCATTTTCTTTTTAATAGTGTTGTATTTATTTTTGTAGTTGCCTTCTATTTATCACCCATGGAACTGTTTTTCCACTGTAGTACCATCATTTATAGTACCGATTTAAAGTTTATTTAATATCAAGAGCTTCTCTGGTTTATTGATTTAAGATTTACTTCTTCGGTAGATAAATCTATGGAAAAAATTAAGCAAATAGTGATACAGAGAAGAGGCACTCCGGGCAAAATCATGAAGGCCAGTGGGCTTTGGGGACTCCGGGCCAACGGAGGAGCCAGGCGGGCCCTTTCCTGGACGTGTGGCGGGCGGCCTGGGCGGAGAGGGGTGGGACTGGATTGTTATTCGGGGGAAGATTTTCCTAAACTGGTGAAGACAAAGAGGAAGGCTTCATGTTGGGAGTCTTTGGGAAAGACCACACACCCCCCATTCTTGTCTTAGGGTAACAAGGCCTGGTGATGAGAAGGACGACACTGCCATCTCTTCCCTGTCCTTGCCTTTCCCAACGACCCAGCTTCTTCATGTGCTAAGGTCCGTCCACTGGTGGCCACTCTGGAGTCAAGGGGACTCGACCAGCCAGGGTGGCTGTCTTGCCTGGCAACATGCTAGCCAAGGTGACGAGAGCACAGAGAAGTGAAGTAAAGAACTAGGGGGAGGGTCCACTGTTCGATTCCCGGTCAGAGCACATGCCTGTGTTGAGGCCAGGTCCCCAGTGGGGGCGCATTTCTCTCACCGACGTTTCCCTCACCCCCTGAGCAGAAGTTACGTGATGCTGCCGAAGAGGCGGGACCGGCAGCCTGCAGGTCAAGGGCAGACGAGCTGGGCGCCATGAGCACTGAGATGCTAGCTGAAGACTTCAGAATGGAGGGGACAGGGGAAGGGGTAGCCAGAGAAAGTTAAAGTTTAAGAGCAGCCTTGGGGGATATCACAACTATGTCTCAAATCCTCAGAGCGGTGATTCAGCCTCGTTCTTCTCATGGCACACCAAAAACTATATTGCATTTTTTGCCAATCTGACAAAAATAATAGGTATAATTTTGACTTATTCACACTGGATGGCTATTGTTGTGTTGGCTATTGTGTCTTTTTACTTGACAATCTAAGGGAAAAGAGGTCAGTGCCCCTGACTGAACAGTCAGGTAATGCATGTTTTGAAAATTCTTTCGGCACATAGTTGAAAATCTCTGCCATAGAGGACTTCATAAAAACAAGTCGATGAGACACCTAAGACCTCCCATTGTTGAATGGACCCCATCCCAGAGGGAGCAGGCTCCCTGGAGGGGTGAGCAAATAAGACTCCGGGGGCCCAAGGGGGACTCTTCCAACTTGGCTCAACAGAGACCAAGCCCAGTCCTATGGGTGGTTTTTCATTTCAGCTGGAAGGACAGGACTCATTTCCAAAAGGACTAAATGCTAATAAGTGTGCAGTCCTTCGTAAAGAATGCATTTGGGTAGAAAAGTTCATCCTACACACAGAGCACAGAAAAATGCTTCAGAAGCCTTCTCCCAAGTGCTAATGCGAAGACAGAGCTCCAGATCTGGGGGCAAGTCTGGGGCAGAGTGCCCCCCCCCCGCCCGGGCTTTGTCCTTAGTTCCTTCATTTACATTTCGAACTGCCAGGTGCATGAATGCAAAGGAGGCAAAATGGCACAATATACAAACCAGGATGTGGCGAAGAGCAGAATGACAGAAACATGATTCAAAACCGTCCCAACACATTGGAACAATGGGCCAATGAAACAAAGAGGATAAACACGAACTCCCACTCTGGAGCTCACGTACCAGGTGCACCCAGGCAGGACAGGGAAACTGGGCTTCAGGCAGCAATTATGAAATATGCCCGGGGGCTCTAGTTGGCAGGAGACCCAATATTAGTCTGCAGCAAATACAGCTGGTCAAAATCAAATGAACAGACACATAAGCAAACGAAAGCCACAAAGCCAATCTTAGGGCCCGTGAGGAAGAGCATTAAAGGGGACAACCAGAGGAGCAGACAGTCCCACAGGACCCTGAACTGATCAGGCAGCATCTGGAGTTTTACATTCTGTGTCACATCCTAAGAAGGTCATAAGACCAATTAAAGCATTTATGCTCGTTCCATAAATGTATGTGGAGCCTGGAGCAGTGTGTTGAGGACACAAAGACAGGCCACAGTCCCTGCCCTTGATAATGAGGGATGTGGAAACCAATGCACATTAAGAATGGAGGGAGAAATGGCAGTGTATGTATAACTTAAGGAACAAAAAGGCTTGGACGGGTGGGGATGGGGAGGGGGAAATGAGCAAGTGACATAGACACAGCCTCTAAATATTTGTAGGACTGCCAGAGGGAAACATTAGACTGATTTGGGGTGTTCCAAAGGGTAGAACTCAGATTCTTACATGAATGGAGATTTAAGCTCTTGTGGGAAATAAACTGCAATAATTAGAGCTGTCTAAAAAATGGAATGGTAGCCTTGAGTAGTGAGTGATGAGTTCCCTGTCAGTGGAAGTATTCAAGCAAAGGCTACATGATCACTTATCATGAATGCAGTCAAGGGATTGTCACTGGGTAGGAGTTTGTCAACATCTCTTTAAAATTCTAAGACCCTAAGAGGCAGAGGTTTAGTTAAGTGAGAGGTGTGTGATTTCTCCCTTTTATGAATGGACTAAAGTAAGCTGTGGAATACGGCTGGGTGATACAGCTGGACAGAAGGCTGTGGCAGGAAAGGAGTGACATGGGGAGAAATGGGCAGAGAAGTGGGTAGTTTTTGGAAAGAAAGCTGGTGTAAAGTAGAAAATGAAAGAACTCAGAGTGGGCAGTTTTGGAGTGGGTGGTTTCGGACTTGAGTTGGTGTGTTGTTATCTATGTTGTAAGTTTTTAAAACTTCGATATTTCACATATAAATCCAGCTTTCCCATTCCTCTCGAAGAGAACTGTCACAAGGCGTAAGGGGGAGGTGCTGAGCAGCAGCGCCCCTTTAGGGGAAGTACATGAAAGCTGTCGCATATGCTTCAATCCCCACCTCTCTCTGCTGCCCAGACCTGACCCTCATCCCTCACCTGCATTGGCCACTTGGCCCCCGGTGGCCTTTGGGTTGGTGGCCACGGTCCTGAAATCCCACATGGGCTCTTTGGAGACAGAAACCACATTCTGCATGTAGGGGTCATAGGCACATAGCCTGGCAGATTCTCGGGAAGATCTGTTACAGGATCCTCAGTCGAAAAGGAGGACAAATCAGAACAATGATGACGATGCCAATCCCTGAACTGGAGAAGCTCACCCCAGGGCTCCACGCTGCCAGGGTCCTCGAGGCCAGACCCCCATTAAGCCCGGTTACCAGAAGTTGGTAGCAATTGTTCTCACTTTAACAAACCAACAAGTAACAATTACATTAATCGTGCCCTCAAAGCTGCTAGAAAAGTGACATTTAACATTCACTGTCTAACTAGCACATAATTGGCCTGTTGCCAATGCTTATAATCAGATTAGTTTGTCTGTTGGGTTGCCCGGCTATGCTGATGAAGTTCCTTTATCTGCAGATATGAAAACGAGCAGCCATGTCGAAAGGCAGTGGAAGAGGAAATTAACTCTCTGTATAAAGTCATCGATGAAGCTCATTGGACAAAAATAGATCTGGAAGGTCAAATAGAAAGCCTGAAAGAAGAACTTGGCTTTCTGTCAAGGAGCTATGAAGAGGTAGGTGGGGGCTGGGGTGACGCTGGGTTGGTTACAAGACCGGAGATGGAGACATCCTCCTGTCTGGCAGAACTTCAGGACACAGGTGAGGGTGGCTCACCTCGGCCTCTCCACGTCACTTGCCTGGGGCTGCAGGGAAGATGCTGGTAAAACACTTTCGGGCATCGATGTGGGTCAGGTTAGCCCGGTGTCTCACCCTCAGAGGGTTTCAGAACCAGGCTGCTGTGAGAACAGAGAAAGGCAGCAGGTCCAAGCCACAGAGTGTTGAGTTGGAGGGAGCAATCCATGCGCCAAGGCATTCAAGTTCAGATCTTTGTTTTCATCACTACAGAGGACAAATTAACTCCGATCAAGGCTGTGGTTTGCACGTCCTCATTAATGGAACTAGGTCAGACCATTGAGTGGCAGGACAGAGACACCCTCCCATGGTGACGTGGTCCAGCCCCTACAGAGCAGCACTGATTCTAAAGCACATGCCACTGTCTGTTCTGAGGCCTAAAGTGCCTGCTGTTGAACAAGTAAAAAACCCACTTACCAATGTGGATGTCCAGAAGCTCCTTCTTTTCACCAACCTTAAGCAAACCAGGAACCAATCAGCTCACATCCTCCTTTTCTTAGCTCTGTAGTTCTCACCACTCTGCAACAGTAAGACATTGCAAAGTTATCTTTAAATCTCTCTCGGCCGGCTTACTCTGACTTAATGAAATTCATAAGGGTCATCTTGCCGTCGTTGCTTGCTCTGTGTTGTTACTTAGTGGCTTATCTGGATTTTTGCTTTGGGCCCGTGCTTGAGAAGACCCGCTGAGAAATGCGTCCTGGGAAAGGAGGGTACGGCCCCAGTGCTGGGAAGGGGACTGGGGACTTGGCCGGTGTCCATGAAACCCCGTGTCCAGCTGTAGCAAAATGAAAAGCACGAGCGTCGCCCACAGAACTGGGGTTCTGCAGAGCGGACTTCCAAGTCTCTTCTTTCTCCTGCGGAGCTAACTCACCAGAGGCGTACGTTGTCCTTTTCAGGATGTGAAAGCGCTGTATAAGCAGCTGGCGGTATCCGAGCTGGAACAAGTGGGCGTCCCCATGGGCACTGGCCTGGACGACATCCTCCAGACGATCAGAACCCACTGGGAGAGAGATGTCGAAAAGAACCGGATGGAAGCAGGGGTCTTGCTCCAAGCCCAGGTGAGAGGTAGGACCCGCGCCCTCCTCTCCGCCCTGTGCGGGAGGAGACCACGCGGAGTTGGAGAGCGGCCTACATGCCAAGGGAGGAATACAGCGTTCCAGTCTCATGAGACCGAAATGAAGTGTGCATTCAAATAATAGTTGTTTTGTTTACCTGTCCAAAGGCAGGAAAAGTTTAAAATGGTAATGATAACAATAATGTTGGCTGGTATGTGGAGACGGTTTTCACCTATATTACTGGGGAGCAACACTATGACCCCTTTCCATAAGGAATTTGGTGGTATGTATTGAGAGTCTTAAAATGTCCCTACCTACCAGTCGAATAATCTGGACACTATCCTAAAGAAATCATAGAAAATACAAGTAAAACCCTGGCCAGGTGGCTCAGTGCATTAGAGCATCATCCTCATTGTATCCAAGGTTGCAGGTTTGATCCCGGGTCAGGGCTCATATATAAGAATCAACCAATGAAAACCTGGATAAGTGGAACAACAAATGGATCTCTCTCTCTCTCTCTGCACCCCCATTTCTCTCTCCCCCCATCTCTCCCTCTCAAATCAATCAATAAAAGTTAGATTCTTAAAAAAGTACAAGTAAAGTTTACATCCAAATATACTCACTGATACATTCATTATAAGAGTCAAAACTTTGGGAAATAAACACATAATATGTTTAACAACAGGATAAGGACTAACCGTGCAGTGACGTGTCAGGCAGTTATCAGAAATGGCCCTCACGAAGCGTTTACAACCCAAGGGAAAATGCTCACGCAATAGGGTAAAATGGGGTGGGGGGAGAGAGAGCAGTGTGGTATCCACCACAGCCAACAGACTTTTGCTGTAATGGACAAGATATTCAGGTTTCTGGGCCAAATGGTCTCTGTGGCAACGTCCCACTCTGCGGCTATAATGTGTACACTGCTATAGACAATGGGTAACGGATGACTGTGGCTGTATGCCAATAAAACTTTATTTACAGAAGCAGGAGATGGGCTGGATTGGGCCTAGGGGCTGCCGTCTTTCAGCCCCTGGTGTACACAGGAGGATGAGCATTCGAACAAAGAAACAGGGCATCGAGCAGAGATTAGTAAGAAAACATGTGGTATCGGGGTGGTCATCTTTGTGTGATGGGCCTATTTAACACTTTGAAGTGTATTTCTTATTTTGCATATTTCTTCAGTAGTATGAGTCCTATTCATGGAAGAAAATAGCTTTCATTATACTTCATAAATACTAAAGGAATTCACCAGAGGTAGAATGCAAAGGGTTTCTTCCCTTCTCCATCCCCTACCCGTGTATGACTCTGGAATTTCAGGGCAGAAGTCGAAAAGGGCAGCAGAGGAAGCAAAGCATGGAGCAAGTGTGAAAACTAAGGCAGCTATATGACACAAGGCAAGAGGGCTGCTCCTGCATCCTTGGTTTCCCTTGAGTGGTTCTCAGTCCTGGCTGCACAGCAGAATTAATTCAGAGCATTTTCAAATGTGCCCAGTAAAGTCAGAGGAGGAGGGGGACTTGGTGGTTTCCTTGGCTCTCTGGATGATTCAAATGCCCAGCCAGGATCGAGAGCCATGAGAGTGTATAAAAGCTACCGAAAGAAAACCAAGAGAACCTTTTCTTCTCTCCTTTCTCCCCGCACCCCAAGTACCAGCAGGAACACTCCCAGCAGGGGGTTCCCCAGCCCAGGAAACATCTTCCAGTCCCCTGCTTCCCCACACGCTGCCCCTTTTCCACACCTTCTATTCTTTCTGACCTTCAATTCTTAGAACCAGACCACAGCAAACACTTTGTATGGCAAATAGTGCCTAATCGCACCACAAAATGCAGCCTCTCCCCACCCTGCCCCACCCCACCTGGCGAGAGGTATAAGAACACAGAGGGGAAGTGAACCCAACCATAGGTTTGATTTTGGTCCATGACTTCTTTTTTAAGAGACTCGTGAATATTTATAATGAATGACCCTAGAAACCAATGGTCCCCCCTCCCTCACTTTAGAGGTGAGACAGCGGAGACCCAGAGAGGGCGTCGGTCACACAGCTGGTGTGTGTGTGTGTGTGACCGACATTGAGCTCTCCTGGCTCTTTTCTCTCTTCGGGGCTGTGATTTCTCCTTGGCTCTGTTCTCAAAGCTATTTGCAGTTTTGCATCTGTCCCAGCTCTCCTGGGGTGTACACCACACTGTAGTGATTATATCTTGGAGAAAGTGGGGAAGGGCATTGTAATTAACAGGAATACCGTATTTTTTGGGCTATAAGACACACTCCCACCAAATTTGGGAGGAAATGGGGGTGCATCTTATAGTCTAAATGTAGCAGGCCTGGCTAGTTGCCCCCACCACGACTATAAGACGCACCCTCCTTTTCCTCCCAAATTTGGGGGGTGCATCTTATAGTCCCTAAAATACGGTATATTCTGCATAGTATGAAAAAGAAAAAAAAAGGTCATTATTATTCACCCCTCACCCTCTTGAGAATCATCACCAACCCAACAGTAATTCAAACATTAATTCTGAACAAATTCATTTGTGTCCTTTTAATAGAGCAATCTGAAAGCTTCATCTCAGAGAAAACAGACAGTGCTTGTTTAAGTTTGGCCCATGCTGCCTGGGCCTCTTGCAGAGAGGCAGAGCTCAGAAAATATTTGCAGAATGAGTGAATCCTTCTGACCAACAACAGAGACGAGAACTGACAGCCAGAAGTTCTCCAATAAACAGTTTTGTCAGCTGCAGCCATGCCCTCGGGGGCTGACGTTCGCCCACCCTCCGCAAGTCTCGGCGTTTGTTGGCCGCAGAACATCGATGTGAAGGGGCTTAGCACGCACTGCTTTCGAAACCTTTTGCAGAGAGAACACAAACATATACTTAATTACCTTTCAGCCAGGCAGGCTGAAAATTAATTGGCCTGATGCATTTATGTCTTTGTTTGGCTTCCCCCAGAAACTGATCCCGAGACAAATATTGAAGTGTGGGTGGTTTATTTGGAAGTTGAGGGGAAAATACCAAAATACCAGGAGAGGAGAAGCAGAGTCAGGAACCAACCAAGAATATGTTATCCAGTGAGCTGCCACTGCAGGAGACTGGAACAAAGCCCACAGGGGCCTGGGGGCAGCACTGACCATGAGACGGGGGAAGGCAGAAGCTAGGGTAGCAATACCATCTTTTACCAGGTCTCTGCCATCAGCCAGCCGAGGGGCCTTTCGCTGTCTTCAGAGGCAGCTCCCAGACAGAGGCAGGGGGCCTGGCCAGGAAAAGGGAGCTGGGAGAACCAACAGGGTTCCCAGGAGGACAAAGGCGGATGCCCTCAGCATCTCCTACCACTTATCTGCCAAGCCTTCTATTATTTTTTAATCGAGGTAAAGGTGGTATATAACATTCTATAAGCTTCGGGTATACAATATTAAAATTCAACATCTGCCTACAGAGGTCACCACCCAAAGTCCAGTTACTGTCTGTCCCTACACAATTGCACCCTTCACTCACATCACCCACCCCCCAGCCCTTGTCCCTTCGGGTAACCACCAACTCATTTTCTGTATCTTTGAGATTGGTTTTGTTCGGTTGGTTAGTTTTGTGGGGGTTTGTTTTTTTCTCCCAAGATTCCACATATAAATGAAATTGTTTGGTGCTTGTCTTTTTCTATCTGATTTATTTTACTTAGCATAATGCCCTTGGGTCCATCCCTGTTCTTGCAAATGACAAGATTTCATTCTTTTCTATGGCTGGTTAATCTATTCTATATCAGTTTGCCCATCCATGAACACTTAGGTTGTTTCCATATCTTTTCTATTATAAATAATGCTGCAACGAACATGAGGGTGTACATTATATTTTTGAATTAATGTTTTCTTCAGATGAATACCCAGATACAAAATACCTGGATAATATTATAGTCCTAGTCTTAATTTTTTGAGGCATCTCCATGCTGTTGTCCAAAAATCTTTTTTGTTTTTAATCATTAAAAGCTTATGAAGAGGTTCTGGTTAGGTTTCTCTGCAGCCATGGTGTCCTGGGTGCCGAGAACCTCCGTGGGCTAGTTTTTAGAGCCTCTGAATTCGTAGGAGTCGGCGTTCGGGAAGGTCGGGCGGGTCCGGAGAGCTCCTGGAGGGTCTTAGCATCTGGCCCTTCCTTTTCTGGTTGTTGTGGTCACCCAACTCGGGGCATTTGGGGATGCTTCGGGAGCCTTCAATGGCATGCCAGACTGCTCTCCAGACCTCCCCACGAGGATGGAATACATTCCCCAGTCTGCAACCCACAGACCCGTGGAAGGCCCCCTTAGGGACACGGCAAAACTGCGCTCATTCACCTGTTTCCCAGAGCCATGTACAGAGATGCTTCCATTCTGTAGAGTGACAAACGAAAAAGAGCGTCCTGGACACAAATACACTCTACCCCGACTGTGGCCACATGAAGATCGCAGTGCCCTTCTTTCCTAAACTTGTGTGGAATTTATGGGTACACAGAAATCACCCCATCATTCATGGTTAAAACATGTGAAATTCGAAAATAAAATCGATAGGCAGATGAGGGCGTCTGTGCTGGCCAGATCTTCTGGCTTCTTTTCAGCTGGTTCAATTCTCACAACAGCCTCGGAAGCAAGAACTATTGTTATTGGAGGGAGGAGAGGTGAGGGTTTCTAGTTTCTCCCCAGCCAGGCCATTTTCACTACACGTTTCCTCCACAGGGGCAGTGTGTTGCCCCCCTTCGAGGCCAGGCAGGTCCATGGTATTTGTGCAGATGAAAAAATATTCACGGAGCTGTCGGGGTGTCTGGCATGCCTTTATTCATGGGTGGGCAGCCACTCATGCTGCAAGCTGCGTGTCTATCTGCACGTCTCATGTCGTGGCCCCTGCTCCCCAGTGTGTCACCCATTATGGCACCTGTCCCCTTGCGTGTCTCTCATCATCATCGCCCCAGCAGGGAGTCCCTACCTGTTTAAGTACTAGAGGGGAGCAAAGCCAGAAAACTGCCAGAATATTACATAACACAACAATTCTGAGCATGCAAGCC